AAAAACTTAAAAAAAAAAAAAAAAAAAAAAAAAAAAAAAAAAAAAAAAAAAAAAACACTCAGCTTGATGCATAATACCTCCTACTTACGTAAAGAGAATCAGGAAGAAAGAAAAAAGGAAAAATACATGTTTACTCCCCTCGTTTAATTGCAGGCGTGCAACACGAGCCGTTCTCGTTTCGCGGCAAGTTCCATTCAACGTATCAACAAGGACGCATGTCAGCCAACGTTGCGACTCTTGGGCGTGCATGACCGTATACTCGAGCCTCCCATCAACGTAACCCATTTTGTTTTTTCCTTTTCACTCTGCAGAATCGTTGTACTCCTCTATTATGTACACCCACACCGGTAATTGAATGCTCGTATACTTGTTCTGTGGCGCGCGCGAATGCGAGCTGTTGTCGCGAATTCAAATCCTTTTTAATTTGCATGCCCTTTTTTCTCGTTGGGTGTCTTTTTTTCCGTGACGAGAGAACGAGGTTGCTTTCATTCGCGGAGTCAGCCGTTTTGATGTATCGCTCACTTAGAGGAGATTGGATGCTCCATCGTTGCGAAAGAACGTATATAGTGCGAAACGAATAAATTAATAAATAAATGGAAATGGCGTTTTGTTTTTTTCGTGCCGGAAACCGCGTTATCTGAAATTTGTACGTCAAGCCTCTCGGTTGGCTGATTGGCTTCTGTTTTTCTGAAGAATCATCTCGAAGGGTGCATTGTTTTATTGACGTTGCCAAGATAAGACCGTGACATCAGCGCTATTCATTTAGGTCAATGGCTGCGTTTTTTAGTGCGAAATTTTTCGCCTGAAAATAAATTAAAAAATACCTTATGTATAATACAACGAACGAGTTGAGATGTGATAGGAGTTTCATTGTTTTTTTATGGCGTGAGTAGCTGCTACATGCTTGAAATATATTGTTATTTATTAATATTTCTGAGGATGTAAAAATATTCTAAAATTGTTCTATTACTTTAGGCAATTGCGTACTTATCAACATTAATATGTTCGTACATTAAATCTCAATTATTTAATCAAAAGAAAGCAAACGCGTGATTAAAATACTCACTGAACGTGATTACAAAAGAAATTTGGGTTAAGTTCAATTGTTCATCAACTTAAAAATAAAATCATGCATGCATAAAAGATTCAAAGTTTATCTTAAATTCATAAGACTCGCTAAAAACAAAAACAAAAATGTAGTTGTAAACAGTAATATTAAAAAAGATGTTTACATTAAATAATCAGTGCTATAAAATCATTAAAATTAATTTTTTTTTATTTTTTTTTTTTCCTATCGGGTTACCGCGACAGCCTATTGGCCCAGTCGCCGGGGCCACCCACTCACCACCTATGTGTGGGGGTGTATTGCCACACCCATTAAATCTT